CCCGTGTCCTTGTCTCTGGTCTCCCCCTGTCCCTCCCTCCCCTACCTCCGGGGCCTGCCCCTACCTGCGTCCCCTGAGTCGAGGGGCGGCAGCGCGCCGCCCCTCACTCCTCCGAGTTTCCTCCGACAGAGGCTCCCCTGCAGACTCTTCACATGGACGTGTGGGGCCCCGCCCGCGTCCGTGGCCAGGGTCACGAGCGTTACTTCCTGTTGGTGGTTGACGACTACTCGCGTTACACCACGGTGTTCCCCTTGCGCAGCAAGGGTGACGTCACTGAGGTGTTGATCGACTGGATCAGCTCAGCTCGTCTCCAGCTCAGAGAGAGTTTCGGCTCGGACTTTCCTGTTCTGCGTCTGCACTCCGACAGAGGCGGGGAGTTTTCCTCTGCCCGTCTGGGAGCCTTCTGTCGTGCACAGGGCATCCGCCAGACCTTCACGCTTCCGGCCTCTCCACAGCAAAATGGGATTGCTGAGCGCCGCATTGGCATGGTCATGGACGTCGCTCGTACGTCCATGATCCATGCGGCTGCTCCCCATTTTCTGTGGTCGTTTGCGGTTCAGTACGCAGCGCATCAGCTCAACCTTCAGCCCCGGGTCTCCTTGCCAGAGACCTCCCCCACCTTGCGGTGGACGGGGAAGGTTGGCGATGCGTCTGCGTTTCGGGTCTGGGGATCTCGGGCGTTTGTCCGCGACTTGTCTGCGGACAAGCTGTCCCCTCGTGCTGTTCCCTGCGTCTTCCTTGGCTTCCCCCCTGACGCGCCTGGTTGGCAGTTTTACCACCCCACCTCGCGCCGTGTTCTGTCCTCCCAGGACGTCACCTTTGACGAGTCGGTGCCTTACTACCGTCTCTTCCCCTACCGCACTGCGCCCCTCCCCCCGCCGCCGCTCTTCCTTGCGCCAGGTCCTCCCTCGGTATACCCCCTCCCCCCTCAGGGTCCTGCCCCGTCAGGTGTGTCCCAGGTAGACGCAGTTGAGCCTGTCGAGGTAGCTGCTGACTCTGGTGCTGCTGGGGGCGCTGCGCCTGCGGGTGCCGGGTCTGGGGGTGCGGAGCCTGGGGGTGCTGAGTCTCGGGGTGCTGAGCCTGGGGGTGCTGAGTCTGGGGGTGCTGAGCCTGGGGGTGCTGAGCCTGGGGGTGCGGAGCCTGGGGGTGCTGAGCCTGGGGGTGCGGAGCCTGGGGGTGCTGGGTCTACTCGTGTGGCCTCTGGCGGTGCTTCGTCGAGGCGGGAGCTACTCTCTCCGCAGGAGCTGCGCGAGTGGTTTGCCCGGCGCTGGAGCAATGCTGCTGGAGCTGGAGGTACTACTGTTGCTGCTGGTCCTGGAGGTGCTCGTCCTGGCGGTTCTGGAGCTGCTGGGACTGGGAGTCCTGCTGGAGGTGCTACTGGAGCTGCTGGAGCTGGAGCTGCTAGGGGTGTTGGCGCTGGTGGTTCTGCTGGCGCTGGTGCTTCTGAGGGTGCTGGAGTTGGCGCTGTTGGAGCTGGAGGTGCTGCTGGCGCTGGTGCTGCCGCTGGGGGTACTGGTGCTGTCCCTGCTGGTTCTGGAGGCGCTGCGCGGCCGAGGCCGTACTTCGTTCCGCTCCTTGAGCAGGTTCTTGGTCTCCCGCCCTCTACTGGTCCTGCTCCTCCCTTAGCGTGTCCACAGCCTGTCCAGTCGCGGTCACAGTTACAGCCCGCCTCCCCCCTTCCTGCTCCTTCTCCCTACACTGGTCCTACTGGAGGTCTTGCTGAGCGTCGTGAGCCTGCGTCTCGTCCTGCGTCGCCTGTTCGTGCTGCTCGCACTAGTGGTCGTGCTCCGCGTCCGCGTCCTCCTGCGGTCCCCGGCACACACCAGATGGCACTGCGTCCTTCCACTGCTCCTCTGCGTGTCCCGTTGCCGTCTCCTCCAGAGTCCTCTCTTCCTACTCTTGCTGACCCGGAGTCTGACTCTCTTCGTGCTGCCAGTCCTACTGTCACGCGTCTCCTGGCTACTGTTGTCACTGACCCTTCTTTTGAGTCCACTGCTCCGTCTGCCTTAGTTGCTGAGCTTGTTGACTTTGCTGCTCGCTGTCGTCTAGACTACGCTGCTAGTCTTGTTGCTGAGTCTGAGTCTGTCTGTCCTCCGTCCGTCGGGGGTGAGTGTGCTCTTAGCACGGACGTCCTTGAGGACAGGCAGGAGGAGTTCCAGTGTTTTGCTGCTGCTTTGCCTCATCTCGTGTCCACGCTGATTGACCCTGAGGGAGACCCGGATGCACCAGACATCCCGACTCCTCGATCGTACGCTGAGGCGATCGAGGGTCCCTACTCCTCACAGTGGCAGTCAGCCATGGACGCAGAGATGGCTTCCTGGAAGTCCACAGGCACCTACATCGACGAGGTTCCCCCACCTGGGGCGAACATCGTCAGTGGCATGTGGATTTTCAGGGTGAAGCGGCCGCCGGGTTCTCCGCCTGTCTTCAAGGCGTGTTACGTGGCTCGAGGCTTCAGTCAGCGGCAGGGAGTTGACTACTTTCAGACCTTCTCTCCCACCCCGAAGATGACCACTCTTCGGGTGCTGCTGCACATAGCCGCTCAGCGCGACTACGAGCTTCACTCTCTTGACTTCAGCACAGCTTTCCTGAAGGGCAGCCTGCACGAGGAGATCTGGCTGCGCCGCCCACCTGGCTTCACTGGGTCGTTTCCTCCTGGTACCCAGTAGAGCCTCCGGCAGCCAGTCTACGGTCTCCGCCAGGCGCCCCGTGAGTGGCACGACACACTGAGGACTACACTTGCGGCTCTTGGGTTTGCTCCGTCTACTGCCGACCCGTCGCTGTTTCTGCGCACCGACACCTCCTTGCCGCCGTTCTACATCCTCGTGTACGTCGAAGACTTGGTCTTTGCCACTGCTGACACTGCTGGACTCGCCCACGTGAAGTCCGAGCTGCAGAAGAGACACACGTGCACAGACCTGGGTGAACTGCGCAGCTACCTTGGCTTGCAGATCACCCGGGACAGAGCACAGCGCACCATTACCCTGACTCAGTCACACATGGTGCAGCAGGTCCTTCAGCGCTTCGACTTCACGTACTCCTCGCCTCAGGCCACTCCTCTGTCTACTCGCCACTCGCTCTCAGCTCTGCCTTCGGATGAGTCCGTAGAGCCGAGTGGCCCGTACCCAGAGCTTGTTGGCTGCCTCATGTACCTGATGACCTGCACACGACCTGACCTAGCATACCCTCTTAGCATCTTGGCACGCTATGTTGCTCCTGGGAGACACCGACCAGAGCACATGGCTGCAGCGAAGAGGGTGTTGCGCTACTTGTGCAGTACGTCGGGCATGGGGCTAGTGCTTGGAGGGCGACGTCCAGTGGTCCTCACAGGTCACGCAGACGCTTCTTGGGCTGACGACCAGGCTACGCAGCGGTCGTCACAGGGTTACACCTTCAGCCTTGGCTCCGGCTCTGTTTCGTGGCGGTCTACCCGCTCGTCTTCTGTTCTCGGCTCCAGCTGTGAGGCTGAGATCTACGCGGGGGCCATGGCTGCACAGGAGCTACGCTGGTTCACCTACCTGCTAACTGACCTAGGAGAGCCGCCTCGTTCTCCTCCAGTTCTGTACGTAGACAACAAGGCCATGCTGGCCTTGTGTCGGGAGCACAGACTGGAGCACAGAACTAAGCACATTGCTCTTCGCTACTTCCTTGCTCGTGAGCTGCAGCAGCGTGGTCAGCTGCGCCTTGCTTACGTGGCCTCTGAGGCCAACACTGCTGATATCTTTACCAAGGCACTTCCGCCTTGTGATCATCAGCGCTTTTGTACGATGCTAGGTCTTGTGCCTACTTGGCCTCACTTGCTCACTTCTTGACCTTGCTTGTACTGTGATCTTTCTATACCTGCACTTGCTTGTTTACCTTTATATATGATCTTGCATGTGAACTGGCCTTGTGGCCTTGCTCTTGTGCTCAGACTGTGTGGTGACGTTGTGATCCACCCTGAGCTTGCTTTGCTTTGCTTGACTGGTGTTGTGACCTCTTGTTCTCCCCCACTTTGCCTATGGGGGTGTGTCAAACTCATATGCTATAGTCTGTGTAGGCTGTAGTGGGGTAGACAATATGGGGTACAACACTTTTAGGTTTTCCTACTTGTACCCACCTGCTTGCTAGTTCATTCATTCCTCATTCTTCACAACTCCAACACTGTTCTAATAATGCCACTGTTAAATATGATTTCATATTATATACATGTTGGGTAGAGTTGCAATTCCTTCATTTTAACCTGTTATGGAGCTGTTGCGGTGAATCTATATGTACGATGTATTTTCTGGTTGAGATGTGATCTCTTAATCCCTTTTAATATGATGCCTCATATTACGTTTTTTTTCTAGAATAATGGGCTCACTTCGTTAGTGCATTCAAGAGGTGTAGTGGAACAACGGAGAGGCCAATAACGGACTTACAAGAATATAGAATCAATGTTTTCGTGACATCCGGCCTGTCCTGTTGGTTGCATTTTCGGCGGTGCTAGTTTCAACCGCCTCGAATGTCTCTAGATCGGGATGATCACGTAGACTGCTGCATCCCTTGCTGTTGCTCAATTTCGAGCTGCCATCTTTTCTGTGTCTAATATCGCCGTTGGTTGCTTTATCGGACTTCAGATTAATCGTGTAGCTTGATTCCGGCGACGACCTTGCTGTTGTAGTCGCGTGATGGCTCGCAGTCAAGCACAAGCACGAAGACCAAAATCAAGCATCGCGACGGCAGATGATCCGAAAAGCGTCGCGACGGCAGATTCGAAAAGCGTCGCTGACGGCAAACCAGGCGATGCTTCTGGTGACGTCGTCATCGCTCCGCCGCTGAACAGATGGTCGCGGCGCGTCCGCGTGGGGATCTTCGCGGCGTGCGTCCTCACTCCCGTTATAGTGGCGTTTCTCGTGATGGACCTGGATCCGTTAGAGCGACGATCCATTACAATCAACGCCGTTATGAGCGTCGCGGGATTCTTTATAACGACGAAACTCATTCCGTTGGCGGTGCCTTATATGTTGCGGAGAAACATGTTCGGATTCGATATAAACAAGCGAGGTTCCCCAGCTGGAGAAATCAAGATGTGAGTACAACGAACGGTGAGAAGCACTGATATATCAACACTGCTCAGATGTGCTGCTTACGAGCGATGCTCTCAGCCGGCAATTCCAAGTGTGATATTAGTGAAGGGGAGAGTAATGTTCCAAGTGTACCCAGGGTCGATTGGGTAGTGGTAGTGTGCATCATTCCCACTTCCACTCACCCTTTCCCTCCCTCCCCCGTACTGCGGGACTCAGGATCGGGTTTGGTGGTACCCACTGTGTGCTCATGGGTGGATAGGTGGTACTGTGCATTTCATTTGTCAGCCGCGCACCCCCATGCCCCCCATTCCATGCTTGCCCCACACTCCCCAGACCCGAGACGTGAATGGTGACTCCCCCTTGTCACCTGTGCTGTGCATGTACCCCCATGCACCCCATGACCCCCATGGCTCCATGCAACCCCATGCCATGTGCTTCCACACTACCCCCTATCCAGACCCGAGACGCAGGGACTGGTGGTGGCGCTCGTGTACCTGGTGGTAACCATCCTTTTCCAGCACTTCTACTTCACGCCTGACTCGCCTGTGAGTGCCTCCCAGGTGATGTTTCAGGTGTTTCTTCAGCTATAGCGAGCTCAGGTAAGATATGCAGGTCCTTGCTCAGCTGATCCCACTCTCACGCTGCATTCTCCCCTTATCATGTCCTTCTCAGCTCCCTCTCCTCGCTCCCGTGCGCCCCTCGCCCCACTTCTCCCTGCCATCCCCCCTCTGCCCGCGTGCATCAGCGGACCCAACAGCTGCTGGAGCCAAACGCGCCTTTGGCTGTTTATCCTGGCCGGATTGGGACGGGCGTGCATCTGCTTCGTGGCCTTGCCTGCTTCTACCCACTCGCCCGTGCACATCCACTTCTACCCACTCGCCCGTGCACATCCACTTGTACCCACTCGCCCGTGCACATCCACTTCTACGCCCCCTCTCCCAGTGCCGGGCCTGCTCTCTGCGCATCTGCTTCAGAACAATGCAGCGTTGGCGAGCATCTGCTTCACGGCCTTCCTGGGCTTCGTTCAGTCCCCCTTGCTATCCCACCGCTCCCTCTCCCCTCTCTTCCCCCCTCCAGTGGCTGCTTGAGTACAACGCAGTGCTGGCGTGCATCTGCTACATGGCGTGCATCTGCTACATGGCGTGCATCTGCTACATGGCGTGCATCTGCTACATGCCGTGCTCTACTCACTTCTACCCACTCACCCCCTGCTCGCCCCCTCCTACCTTTCTCCCCCTTCGCTCCCCCACCTGCCGTCCCCCCCCATGGGGCAGTGGCTGCTGGAGTACAATGCAGCGCTCGCGTGCATCTGCTACATGGCCTTCCTGGGCTTCATCGACGATGTGCTCGACATCCCCTGGCGCGTGTCAGTGCTGCTGGGGGGTGCTGCTGGGGGGAATGGATCATATCAAGGGCACGTTTGGGCTCGGGAAGATGGGCAGGGGAGGATGGGCAGGGGAGGATGGGCAGGGGAGGATGGGCAGGGGAGGATGGGCAGGGGCAGATGGGCAGGGGGGAGATGAGATGAGGTTACTTTCGGGGCCCTTTTCCCCTCCCCTCCCACGTCTCCTAACGTCCTTAGCCATTTGAGACGCCTCACAAGGTCTCCCGCCATCCCGCATGCTTCATGTCATTCTGTACCTCGTCCTTTACCGCTCTGCGTCTCCGTGAAAGAAGAGTGTTTTTGAGACGTCTCACAAGCACTCTTCTTTCACGTGGCTACCTCGTCCTTTACCGCACTGCCTCTCCGATCCTCTTTGCCTGCCCTCGCCGCACCACCATTGCCACCCCCAAGCCACGTGGTTGCTCCCTCCGAAGCCCCATGCTTGTCTCTCTCCTTCCCCCCCTTCTCCCCCGCAGCAAGCTCATTCTCCCCGCAGCAAGCTCATTCTCCCCGCAGCAAGCTCATTCTCCCCGCAGCAAGCTCATTCTCCCCGCAGCAAGCTCATTCTCCCCGCAATCGCCGCGCTGCCTCTCCTCATGGCCTACTCCACCCACACCACCATCATCATGCTGTTTCCCGCCCCATCCCACCCCTTCCCACCCCTTTCCCGCCCTTCCCGCCCCTTCCTGCCCCTTCCCGCCCCTTCCTGCCCCTTGCCGTCCCTTCCTGCCCCTTCACGCCCCTTCCTGCCCCTTCCCGCCCCTTCCTGCCCCTTCCCGCCCCTTCCCGCCTCTTCCCGCCCCTTCCCATCCCTTCCCGCCCCTTCCCGCCCCTTCCCGCCCCGTTCCCGCCCCTTCTCGCCTTCTGTCCCGCCCCCACCTCCTTTCCCTCTCCTCTGCAGGAAACTCATTCTCCGTTCCATCGCGGCCCTCCCTCTCCTCATGGCTTATTCAGGCCACACCACCATCGTCATCCCCAAGCCAAGTGTTCGTCGGTCCCTTCCAATCCCTTGCCCCGTGCTTCTCCCTCCCTCCCTGCCCCCTTCTCCCCTGCAGCAAGCTCATTCTGCCGTCTATAGCGGCCCTGCCTCTCCTGATGGCCTATTCAGGCCACACCACCATCGTCATCCCCAAGCCGCTGCGGCCGCTGCTGGCAGGGCTGGCAGGCGAGGAGGTGGCCGTGTGGGACCTGGGCGTGCTGTACAAGGTCTACATGGGCATGCTCGTCGTCTTCTGCTCTAATTCAATCAACATTCTCGCGGGAGTGAACGGGTTGGAAGCTGGGCAGACTGCTGTGATCGCTGCTGCGGTGAGTGTGGTGTGGCGTGAACGTGCTTCACTAGGGCTGCATGCACCTGGGGAAGGGGGGATGTGGAATGGGGGGAGGGGGGGTGTGGAATGGAGGGAGGTGGTAGTGTGGGACCTAGGCGTGCTGTACAAGGTCTACATGGCCATGCTCGGGTGTTCTGCTCCCTCCATTAATATCCTGGCGGGAGTGAATGGTTGGGAGGCCGGCCAGGCTGCAGTGATCGCTGCTGCGGTAAGATTGGGAGAAAGAGAATGTTAACTTATAGCTCCAAGGCATTAAGTGTGGGGTCTCGGGGTGCTCTATGAAGCGTACATGGGGTGCTCTACAAGGCGTTCATGGGGTGCTCTATAAGGCGTACATGGGGTGCTCTATAAGGCGTACGTGGGGTGCTCTATAAGACGACGGCGAACCCCATCATCATCTTGTAAAGAGTACAGCTTTACCACAACCTGCATTAGATTCGAGAGCAGCACAGACAGCTCAGGAATAGATAATGGTTACCTCCAACCCACGCCACCCCTCTCTACCCCTCTCTACCCCTCTCTACCCTGTTGCCCTTCTCAACCTGCCTCCTCCTTGCGACCCCCCCTTACCCGTCTCTCATACTCCTCCCTCTTATCCTCCCACCACGCATCCTCTCTCTGTCTCTTGCTCCCTACCTTCCCCCTCCCCAATCCGCCCCATTTCTTGCTCTCTTTCTTCCCGCCCCCTCCCGTACCCATTCAGGGACTGCTGTTCAGCATCTGGCAAGTTCAAATACGCCGCCAGGCATCAAGCTGCCACTCTCTCTTTGTTTTGAGAAAACTAAAAAATCAAGCTGCCACTCTCTCTTTGTTTTGAGAATTCTAAAAAATCAAGCTGCCACTCTCTCTTTGTTTTGAGAATTCTAAAAAAACAAGCTGCCACTCTCTCTTTGTTCTGAGAATTCTCAAAAATCAAGCTGCCAGCCACTCTCTCCCTCTCTCTCGTCTTCCTCTCCCCTCATTCACTGCCGCCCCTTCTACCCTCCCCCTTCTCCCCCCTCCTCCTCCCTTGCTCGCAGGTGCTGCTGTTCAACATATGGCAGATTGGCGAGCTGCCGGGCTTGAAGCTGCCACTGCAGCCGGACATGCAACAGGCGCACCTCTTCTCCATCTACCTCATCCTCCCTCTGCTTGCATGCACTCTCGCTCTCCTCGTCTTCAACTGGTGAGTTTTCAACGGGTGTTACGCTGTGCGTCCAATCGGCTGAAAGCCGAACTCTTATTTCGTCCACTTTTCGCTGCAGGTGTTTCTCTGGAACTTTCTGGTGCTGGTGCTTTCTGGTGCAGGTGCTTTTGAGAATTCTCAAAAAGCAGCTGCTACAAAAGGTAATCTCCATCCACCTTTACTTCTGAGACGTTTCAGCTCAGCTATTAGCTTGAATCTGCTTTTGAGTCGACTCAAAAGCAGGCTCAGATATTAGCTTGAAACACACCTCTTCTCCTCCCACCTCGACTTTTGAGACCTCTCAAGTATCAGCTTGAAGCATACCTCTTGAAATAAGTGTGTTTCTGAGGCGTCTCAAAAACACACTTATTTCACGTGGTCCTCACCTCGACTTTTGAGACCTCTAAAATAGCAGCTTGATTGAAGCATACCTCTTCCCCCTGTGGTACCCCTCCTCATGTCTTCTGCCCTCTCCCCTCTCTCCCAGGTACCCCTCGCAGGTCTTTGTGGGCGACACCTTCACCTACTTTGCTGGAATGACACTCGCTGTGGTCGGCATTCTAGGCCACTTCAGGTAACCGCTTATCAGTTCAGTAGCTTGTCCTTATCAATGTTTTCAACCCGTCTTAATCGATCCATCGATTTTCTCATTTCCATTCAGTCCATCAGTCTATTATCAATCCATATTGACCTCCTCTTCTTCTTGCTGCATTGCATTGTCTGCTGCTACAACCCTGTCCCCCTCTGCTGTCTCACACACTCAACCCTTGCCTTCCCCTTTCCTCTCTTCTTTTCCACCAGTGAGACTCTTCTGTTGCTCTTCCTCCCTCAGGTCATCAATTTCATCTACTCCATTCCCCAGGTATGTTGTCACTTCTCAGAAATTTCAGAACAACTTTGTTTTCCTCTGAATGTCAACATGTCATCGCCTGCTCATGTTCTTCTAAGCCAACTTTTCGCTCATCCTTTCCCTTCCCCCATGCACCCCATCCCTCACAATCCCCCTCACCCCTCCCATTCCCCCTCGACCCTTTCCTCCTGCCCCTTGTCGTCCCGTCTCAGCTCTTCAAGTTCGTGCCGTGCCCAAGACATCGCCTGCCCAAGTGAGTACCATGCCTTTGCGCTCCGTTTTGCGTGAAATTAAGCGCCTCGATACCGTGCCCCCTCCTCCCGTATTGTCTCTCCCTCTTCGCATGCTCCTTTGATTCATGTCTGGTTAGCTCCGTTGGTTTTCCCATTGTCCGCCACATACTGGTGTACGGCGGAAAGTGCGCTTATGGGATGAGAGTGCCAGTGCTGCTCTTTTAACATCGCATTGACTCTGCCAGTGCTGTAAGCAAGAAGTACTCTCATAAAAACGTTGAACATGGTACCCTACCTCTACTTAAGATGAAGAAGCGGGTCAAATTTTCCCATCCTACCTCCCCCGATAGATGCCGGTGCGGGGCAGGGCAGGAAGTGCCTTTGGGCCGGTGCGGGGCAGGAAGTGCCCGCATAAGAGCACGTTTGACCTTGCAGGAAGTGCCCGCATAAGAGCACGTTTGACCTTGCAGGAAGTGCCCGCATAAGAGCACGTTTGACCTTGCAGGAAGTGCCCGCATAAGAGCACGTTTGACCTTGCAGGAAGTGCCCGCATAAGAGCACGTTTGACCTTGCAGGAAGTGCTCGCATAAGAGCACGTTTGACCTTGCATCCTATCCTACCTCCGACTGATTGATGCAAGGTCACATCTGGCCAAAAACTTCACAGAATTCCTGGAGTCCCGACCCGACCACATCAGGTGCTGCTGGTAGCAGATGGGGCAGCGCCAGACCCTCTTGACGTCCCTCGGTAGGCCTTGATTCGTTTTGAGGTAGGCCTTGATTCATTTTGAGGTAGGCGTTGATTCATTTTGAGGTAGGCCTTGATTCATTTTGAGGTAGGCCTTGATTCATTTTGAGGTAGGCCTTGATTCATTTTGAGGTAGGCCTTGATTCATTTTGAGGTAGGCCTTGACTCATTTTGAGGTAGGCCTTGATTCATTTTGAGGTAGGCCTTGATTCATTTTGAGGTAGGCCTTGATTCATTTTGAGGTAGGCCTTGATTCATTTTGAGGTAGGCCTTGATTCATTTTGAGGTAGGCCTTGACTCATTTTGAGGTAGGCCTTGATTCATTTTGAGGTAGGCCTTAATTCATTTTGAGGTAGGGTGCAAGGTCAAACGTGCTCCCATACGGGCATTTTCAGCCCCACCCGCACCAACACCTGTTGGAGGAGAAATGGTACAGAGCATGGGAAAATGGTACAGAGCATGGGAAAATGGTACAGAGCATGGGACAATTGTACAGAGCATGGGAAAATTGTCGATATTGACTGCTGATCCGCGCAGCAGATAGGCGCATTTCAACCATCAATTCGTGCTGATTGGTGCATTTCGACCGGCGTTTGTGTGAATTGTCGATCTTGACAGCCAATCCATGCAGACTGGCGCATTCCGACAACCAATCTGTGCAACCGCCGATTGGTGGATCCGCGGATTTCAACAAATCAGATCGGCAGTTTTGGTGGCCGATCCACGTGAATGGGCACAGTACAATCGCCAGTCCATGTCCCTCGGCGATTTCGGTGGCCGATTTCGTAAATCGGAGCATTTCGACTGTTCTTCTGCACAGATGGGCCACCTTGGGATTCGATATGCGTGTCTGACTCGTAAAGTCGGGTCAGGTCGATCTGTCCTGACAGGTGACGTCTGTTGAGGCGCCTCAACCTGGTCAACCTCTTCCCCTCACCCACCCCTCTATATCACACATCTCCTCTCCCTCCCCTCCCCCTCCAATCTTTCTCCTCCTCATTCCGCCCTGACACCACACCAGGTTTGACCCGGCCACGCACCGCCTGACGGGCAGCAGCGACCTCAACCTCGTCAACCTCTTCCTGCGCCTCTTCGGCCCCTGCACAGAGGAACACCTCTGCATCCGCCTGCTGCTCTTCCAGGTAGCCTCAGGACGCCTTGAGGGTTGTTCATTTTGAGAGTGGGTGATGGTTGGGTGAGGGTGGATCTTCGGCCACGCTGCTCAGGCTCTTCGGCCCGTGCACAGAGGAACACTTCTGCATCCGCCTGCTGCAACGCCAGGTACTCCCTGCCCTTCCAGGTACTCCCTGCTCTTCCAGGTACTCCCTGCCCTTTCAGGTACTCCCTGCCCTTCCAGGTACTCCCTGCCCTTCCAGGTACTCCCTGCCCTTTCAGGTACTCCCTGCCCTTCCAGGTACTCCCTGCCCTTTCAGGTGCCGCGTGCTCTGTCAGGAGCCCCATTGGCAGCTCTAGCTAATGTTGCTGTCACAGGTAGCATCAAATGACCTGAGGGTGTATCTTCTTGACAGTGGCTGTGGTAACTGCACTGTGTCTGTGCTGGGTGTGTGTTGCTCATTCACATTGGGTGTGTGTTGCTCATTCACATTGGGTGTGTGTTGCTCATTCACATTGGGTGTGTGTTGCTCATTCACATTGGGTGTGTGTCGCTCATTCACATTGGGTGTGTGTTGCTCATTCACATTGGGTGTGTGTTGCTCATTCGCATTGGGTGTGTGTTGCTCATTCACATTGGGTGTGTGTCGCTCATTCACATTGGGTGTGTGTTGCTCATTCACATTGGGTGTGTGTTGCTCATTCACATTGGGTGTGTGTTGCTCATTCACATTGGGTGTGTGTTGCTCATTCACATTGGGTGTGTGTTGCTCATTCACATTGGGTGTGTGTTGCTCATTCACATTGGGTGTGTGTTGCTCATTCACATTGGGTGTGTGTTGCTCATTCACATTGGGTGTGTGTTGCTCATTCACATTGGTCCATGCACAGAGGACACGCTCCACATTCGCCTGCTCTTTCTCGCGCTGTTTCTTTGCTGGATTGGCATGGCTCGCACTTGGATGGTCACGCCTCAGAATCATCTATTGCTCTGGATTGTTTCTGCTAGATGGTCTCATACTCATTCCTTCTCGACTCTCCGTCCTGTGTCACCCACTCACACTTCCTTTCAGTCCTTTCTTATTCCAACTCCTCGCTCTCCCTCCCCACACTCCCTTCTCACATTCCTTCTAACTCTGCGCTCTCAATCGCCCTTCTCACACTCTTCCCTCACACTTCCTCCTCACACTCCCTCGTCAAACTACCTCCTCACAGTTTTTCCTCGCACCCTCACTTCACATCACTCAGTCAAGTCACATCTCCTTTTCACATCCTTCCTATCCTCATTCAAGTGTTCCCTTATTCACCCATTCTCCCTTCAAGGCCTACTTGGCCTATCACGCGTTATGCCCATCCTCATCCCTTGGGGTTGATTCAGATTCCCCGTACTTACCATAGAAATTCCCTGCATTTTCCGTAGAGAATACCACTACAGCCTTACACAGCGCACCCACCTTTCCTTCTCTCCTCATGCTCACCTCTTGTCCCTGCTCTCTGCTCATTCTCCTGTCGTTGCATCCTCTCGTATCTTCCAGGTCCCTTTGCTCTCCTCTGCTTCACATTACTCACCCCCTTCGTGTTTGCTCCCCTTTTCCCTCTCCCACCCGGCGCTCACCTCTCTCGTTGCGCATTCTCCTGTCGTTGCAGCCTCTCTTTACTTTCCCTCCCTCTTGTCCGATGCAGGTACTCTCCTCTCTCCTCTCCTTTGCATTATGCACCCCCTTCGCCTTCCTTCCCCTCTTCTTCTTCCCACTCGTCTCTCTCCCCCTCCCCTGCCTTTGCTTCCCTCCCCCCCTCGTCCCATGCAGGTACTCTCTGCTCTCCTTTGCTTCTCTGCCCGCCTTGTCCTTCAAGGGTGGTACAAATGAGGCAGTGCACTCAAACTACACCACTTTGTGATCTGTTATTATGTAAGTCAGACTTTGATGACACAACGATGCTATCAAATGGGAACAAGGGAGTCAGACGTTTGATTGCGATTTAATACCTCTCAAGTGTGAAGTTGCAGCAATCTGTGATTTACTAATATGAGAGCTGTACGAAAGTAGGGTGTTTTTGTGCTTGAGTGAAGGCCTGCCTCCTGTTACTCTCGCTGCAATATTTTTCCCGAATTCCACATGTTTTTGTTATGTTAACTTCATTACAAGATTATTCCCCTCTATGCTGCTCCCCTCCCCACACATACACCACACCACACTCTGATCCCCCACTCAACCCACCACTAACCGGCACCTACCAGTAACACAGCATGTCACAGCTCCCAGCGCCGTGTGCTTGAAGCATCTACACCCTTACAGTTGAACACTCTGCTGCTGCTTTACACGCTAATACCCCGAACAGACATTCCATCATTGCTCGAAACAGGGTCCACCGCATTGCAAGAGCTGACCTGACAATCTCAGGAAGAACACGATTCGTTTCCGCCGGGCCTCACTGGCATCACGAGATGTTGCCATGAGGACGATCTACTCGTCATGGTCGTGATGGTCGTCATGATGGTCGTGATGATCGTCATGATGGTCGTGATGATCGTCATGATGGTCGTGATGATCGTCATGATGGTCGTCATGGTGGTCATCATGGTCGTCATGATGGTCGTCGTGGTGGTCATCATGGTCGTCATGATGGTCGTCGTGGTGGTCATCATGGTCGTCATGATGGTCATCATGGTCATCGTCGTCCTTCTTCGCCTTCTTCAGCGCACACGCCTTCACGCACGCCGCGTAATTCGGCTCGCACCCCACCTTCTTCGCCTGGTAGCACTGGCGGCGGTGGTACAGGCACCAGTCCTTGCAGCCCCACTTGCCGTACTTTCAGCTCTTGAATGACCGGTACGCCTTGCGCCCGCACGTCTTAGCCTGCGCCTCGCACGTCGCCATGCCTTCGGAGGAACCTGACGCTTTCTCCGCGCACTCGTGCTTCTTCTCCGCGCACTTCTTCTGCTTAAGCTGGAATTTCTGCATGCATGTGAGAGGCTTCGGCTTAGGCTTTGGCTTCTCTTTCTTCTCGTGATGATCGTCGTCGTCGTGATGGTCGTAATGATCGTCGTCGTGATGATCGCCATGATGATCGTGATGGTCGTCGTCGTGATGGTCGTCATGGTGATCGTGATGGTCATCGTCCAGGAATCGCCTGGCTGCGACAGTCGGGATGATACACCTCAGCGGACGAAAACTGTCGCCCAATTTCGCGGTTGCGAAAGGACAAGGCCCCCCCTCGGGCCTGACCAACCCTTGACAAGCTCCGGGTGGCAAACTAGGGCGAACTGGCACTGCTCTCGGGCACGCGAGCCCTCGGGATTGTCGACAGCCCGACGACCTCGGGTTTCGCTGAGACAACCCCGAGAAGGATATCTCAACGCGTGACAATTTCCCAGCTCGACACGTCAGGCCGCGATCTTCGCCACACGGCAACAGGGGGACGACCGAGATCGTCCCTGAGGTCGCGGGACCAACGTGGGCTGCCACGATCGCCACGGCGGTGCCACGCATCGCTCCTTGGTCGATCTGCTTTTTGCGGGAACACAGCGTGCCAACCTTTTTTTTGCGGGGAAAAAAAAACCCGCCTATAATGCAATGTCGGTGTCGCCCACCTATCCAACGGCCGATAAGCGAGCCACGCGTCTTACCCCGACCGGCCCCGCCGCTGTCTAGGTGCAGCGAATCGAACCACATACGGGCTGGAGCCAGAGGGAATGCCGGCGTCGACCAAGAGAGGCTTTTTGTCGGCATGACGCGCGGCTCTGCGTGATGTGATGCTAAAATTACGCGGGAAGTCGGCGGCCCCGGCATTCATGGTGCGAGGCACCAATGGTGAGTCGACGACACGTAGCGCATGCCCATGGCACCGTGGAATGGCCAGGCATTAAGCTCAGTGAGTGCAGCGCGGCGTACCACTAGCCATGCATGGCACATGGCACGTCGAAAACTCCGCCGTCGAACGAGGATACATGCACGCTGGCACTTGCAAAGGGGCTTGCGTGGAGCGCGACAGGTCTGGAGTCGCTCACGACCATACCCCTCCACCTCCAAGCCCTGGTCGCTCAATCTGCCATTCTGTCTGTGTTCCTTCCCTCTCATGTAGAGCATGCGCCCTCTGGCACTTAGCATTTTCCCCTCTCATCCTATCATCACGATTGTAGGTTCCTCGGTCGCCGACCAGATGAGCTCGTCGGCATAGTTTGCGTCGACTTGGTTGAGACGCCGACCATGTCCGTACTTAGGACACCTATCGGTTAGACACCGACCTCGAGCGCCGACTTCCAAATTGGCCGACACCAGCAACTGCCTAGGTCCAATGTTCGAAGCTCTGCCGGATTGCCCTCTTCCAGCAATGGGCAAAAAGGGTCGAGAATATCGACACCAAAACGATAAAAAAAGCGCCGAGACCCGACCCTCATCCAGCCGGACGTAAGCCGTCACTGAAGTTGGCGTCGCCCTGTTACAAATGTGTGTTAACGCCCCTCATTGCCAACGTCATTCTCCGACCATTGCAGGAGATCTCTGTTCGATTGGACGCCGAATACGAGGTCATGTCCGTCCGCCAGACGCTGTTGTACGAGTGGGAGCGCTCCGCGGTCGAGACGATTGACCTCCTCGACGAGCTCGAGAAGCGTGACGCGACCATCGCGACGCTAACGGCCGAGGTGACCCGTCTCACTAAGGCACTCCGAGTCTCAGAAGCACGGAGGGTGCCAGAGGCGCCGCCGGCGGCGAACGAGGAACTGCCGAGCAAGGGTGGCTCTGCGGAGTCGGCAAGTACTGGGGCAGGAGCCAAGAAACAGGATGAGAAACCCGAGAAGCCCCCACAGACGGTCTACGAGGCTCGTTACGAGCTCAATATGGTCCAGCCTAGGCGAGAGGCCAAAACTGTGCACGACGCGTGGCGCCACTGGAACTGCATCACCGCCAAGGATACATGTCGACTTTGCGACAGGTTCAAGCAGCCGGGATTCGCCGACCGCCACACTCTCCTCGCCGGCGCCTCGCAGGGTGCACACGACATGAGGGTGCGCCGCATGCTGAAGGCCATGGATGCAGTGCGCCTCCTTCGCGTGAGCGACGGCGAGGCCGACACCGAAGCCGTCGTCGATGCTCTGGACAAGATCATCGATGTCGGCCCTAACGGTGTTAAAAGAGGGAACCGGGCCGACATACTCCAAGGAGGTGGGCAAGGGCGTCAAGGGGCTCGGCAAGACGGAAGCTCCCAAGCTACGTGTCGCGTGTGCACTGGTTGCACACTGGTTGAAGCTGAAAGAGTGGGTCACCGCCCTGTTCCCAGACACCTGGGAGGAGCAGATGTCGAAGACATTGGCCGACATGGCCAATGAGAGCGCCACTGGGAAGCAGCCTTCAACCAAGGCGTCGTCCAAGCGTAAGAAGACTGCGTGACTGGTCTTGCAGCTTGTTCGTGTGCGATGTTGCATGCTTTAGTTCTGGTCGGTGCAAACAATCCCTTGTTCTGATATTGTTACGGTCCTTTCTAGACAACACGCATTCGACACCGTCAAAGCGAAACCAGCCGGCATGAATGGTCGTGGAGCATGTGCGTGTGCGTTTTTTCATGCTGTAATTGTTGTCGACTAAATCAGCACGAGCTAGGGCTGAAAAACAGAACCCATGCGAAACTCCATGATCCTACAATTGAAACAGCAGTGAGCCGCCGACCACAAACACCCCGCTGACACTGGCAGCCAGCCCGCCATGTCGACCAATACAATCTACGCCACTCTGGCACCGACATATACGCTGTAAAACAAAGATGACATGGTTAATCGTCGCGTAGCATGTGAGTGTGCAATTGAGCCTGTTGTGATTATGGTCGACATTGTCTAGGGTATCGATAGCCGATTAGCAAACACACACAAAAAGTTACATGCGCTACACTAACACAGCGCCGATCACTCAAACATGCTATACACCCTAGCAAGCATACCACAAAGCGCGCCCGCCGACCGCCGACTACGCCGCACTGCTGTGCTTGCCCTTCTTCCTCGCCGTGTTGTGCTTGCCCTGCTTGCCCTTCTCCCCCTTCCTCCCCCTGTGGTCCAAATCATACTCCATCTGCGTGTCACAAGGCACAGCGATACCGAGCTCTTCTAGTTCGGGCCCAGCCACGGTGCACATTCCTCAGAACGCCGTGGTCTCTACCGTCGCTCTATCGATCACGTCGGCCTCGACTCCCCCATCTCCCCCCGGATAGGCCCTCGCTAGAGTGTGACTCTGCAGTGCCGGCGCAACGTTGAGGGCAACCTCGCATGCGGCTGGCTCCCTCTTGATCTTGACGTCCAACACCGCCTCCATAACCTCCTTGAAGACATCGGCGGTTTTCTCGCTCGCACCAGCCACCATCGCCGCCGCCTTCCCTTTGCCCGCAGCACCGAGCACCGACGCACCGGTCTCGACGAAGTACCACACGGCACAAGCGGAGGCCGCTAACGCCTTGGCCGCCAACTCCGTCTTCTCACCCGTCTCCCCTGCCTTCCTCGCCGCGCTTGCAGTGACCTTCCCAAACGCCGACACGCGGACACGCGCACATGGACACGCGGTGTATCATGGACGACATCAAAGTAGCCGACTCCGCCTTCTTCTCCTTGGTCTCTTCTTTGATGGGGAACCAGACCGCCGGCAGGAGCGCGTCGTGAATTGCATCACCGCAAGCCAAGAACACTCGGTACCTGGCAAGTATATCATCGAACCTGTCACGCAATCACAACCTAACGGGAGAGCGTTAGTAACACCGACATCGTCGGCAGCACTAGGCGGATGGGCAGCCATCTTATTGTGTTCAAGGAAGGTATACGGCTCGGGCCCAGATCTGCGTCCACATCCCAGTCGGCAAAATCCTGACCTCGTCCCACACCTTCTTCCATTCTTCCATCGTGGTTTCCTCCAAGCCGGTGAGCTCGTCCAGGAGGACGGGGCTGACGTAACCGTCATAGACGATGTACGCCACTGAGTGGAGGCAAGCCACCTCGAAGAAGTCACGTGACTTGCCCATGTATCGCGAGTCGCCGACCACCTTGATCTCGGCCACCCATCCTTTCCCGTCGCCTGCCTTGTCTTGGCAAATGTCATGCCCCTTCCGTCCTCCCCTTCTCTTTCTCCTCTGCCTTCCCCTTCCCTTTCCTCGCCGACTTCCCCTTGCCGACCTCCTTGTCCTCGTCCGACTTCTCCTTGCCTTTCTCCGCCGACATCACCCGCGTTTTCCTCTCAGAGATCGCCTTTCATTTCCGTTTCAACTTTCCCTTGCCGACACCGCCCGTAGTGGTTGATGGCACCGCTGAACCACCGGAAGGAGTCGCCAAGGGCTCCACGTGTGCCGTGTCTGAGATGGCCAGTGCAGGGGGATGCTCAGTGCGTTTGGCTGCATCCAAGTGTGTCTGGATGGCAGCGATATCCGCGTCTGTCTCCATGTCTACAGCGGTGCCGGCGGTAGCAAGCGCGGCACGAACTCCCTTCTCCGCCGCACCGTCGACATCAGCTGTCACGAGAGTGGGTACGGAAACAATCCCCTCTTTCGACGGTTTGGTAGTGCCAGTTGCGAGTGCCCGCTGAGGTCGGGTTGGCGCAGCCGCACTATGTGCGCCCAACTGGGCGCGAAGCAATACGGATTTCGGGTCCGATGGAGTACGGTCAGCGACACCAAGCACAACTCGTGAAGCTGCTGCACTTGACGATGCGACGACGACGGTGGGGCTGCCCGAAGGACCTGTTGCTTTGGCAACCCCAGCATCGACGATGGGAGGTTGCTGCAAAGCCTTGCGACTCGCAAGAAGCTTCAGTTGGGCCTTGAGCGCATTCGCCGCCGTGACCACCTTGGTGGGAGCTGGGTGTTTCTCAGCACGGCCAGCCGCAGGAGCAGGCACGCCGTTCTTGGCGGCGGGCGGGACCTCAAGAGTGCGGCGGTCTGCAGGTGGCGGGACGTCGCCCTTGGAAGCAGACGGGCCAGTTGGAGCGCCCACAATAGCAGGAGGGTGATGGGGAATCGAGGAAGTCGGTGCTAGGCCGGTTCGGACGACACCACCTGTCGTCGTTTGAGCGGTGGGGATCGCCTTGTTGCTCAGGCCTTTCCCATCACTCGCCGGAAGGGGAGGCCTTGACATCACCTTGACACTTGCTCCAGCGACTTTTATGGAATCCAATTTTTGCTACGTCATCACGTACAAAAAGGGCGCCAACAACATTGCTGACGCCCTGACCCGGCCATCCATGCAAAACGTTGCTTAACTTATCTCCCAATTCAACCCGCTGTTATCAGGACTATTCACCCACGGCTACAGAATCGATCACTTTTTTAAGTGAAACCAACACCTATGGGCCACGACGCAACACAAGAAGTATTACCTCAAAGCCGGTACGAACCAGATTTGGGACCTGTCATATCGGCCCTTAAGAGAGTTGCTGACGCAGGAGGTTCATGACACTAGCCTCTCCGGGCATTTCGACATCGATAAAATACTCAAGCCGCTGCAGCGCAATCAATATTGGCCCGACATGCTGTCGGATGTGGAACGCTACGTGACAACCTGCCCGACCTGCCAAGCCATGAAATCGTCACGACAACGGCTAGCTGGACTGCTTCAGCCCTTCGTTACGGGCCTGCCCGACCCGAACGACCATGGCAGCAAGTAACGATGGATTTTGTTACGGGCCTGCGAGCTGGCGTAAGTGACAACAATTCGGTGTGGGTTGTCGTTGACCGCTTAACGAAAATGGCGCACTTCGCACCATGCCGCACGACAACCACAGCCGAAGAAACATCGAAGCTGTTCATCTCAACCGTCGTACGCCTACACGGGTTACTTTCGGCGATCATCAGCTACCGAGATCTGAAATTTGCGTTGAATTTCTGGCAGGAAACGTAGGCACAGTACAGAACATCCTGCAGTTCTCGTCGTCATACCACCCGCAAACCGACGGCCTGATAGAAAGGACAAACCAGACTATGGAGCAGCTAATTCGAACCAGCTGCTTTGACCGGGAAGACTCCCTCCCCATGCTGGAGTGTGCGCCTAACAACGCACCCTCCGCAACGACAAATCAATCCCCATTCTACCTTAATTATGGGATAGATCCAGTGGTACCCTCATCCACGACTCCTGACAACCCGGTACCACGCTCCCAGCAGTTCGTCACGGAACTTCAAGCTGCCCTCGACAAAGTTGCCGAATTCATCCGCAAGACTAACACGGGCACTAGCTGCAACGCTGACAAGCACCGAAGGGATTTACCCTTCAGCACGGGGCAAATGGGAAAAATCTTCGTCTCCCCCAACCGGCAAAACTCAGTTCCCGCTACGTGAGACCGTTCCGCATCGTCAAAATGTTGACACCTGTCACGTCGAAGCTGCTACTACCGGATGATCGGCGTATTCACGACGCATTCCACATTAGCCTGCTCCGACATTACGCTGCACCTCCGTGATCTGATATATCGCGTCCCAACATCGCGCCAAGAGTTCGGCCTGTGGCAGACCCTGCACTGCAACCGTGGAAGATTCTGAATCACCGCGTGCGTGTGACACCGGCTGGACGCCACGTTGATTTCCTGCTCTGTTGGGCAGATCGGACGAGTGATGATGACACGTGGGTCACGCCCGACTCGCTTTAAGGCCACTCGGTACTTGGGGACTACCTCGCACGCCGCCACGTGCCTGATATTGACCAACTTTCTTAAAGGGGGGGGAGTGTAAGGATTTTTTCTGATTCCTTACCAGGTCACTCCATACGCATACAAACTCCAACTTTCAGAGTTCCAGGCTCGGTCCGATGACCTCGCCCTCCAGGCGTTCCTCGCCTCGCCTTCGGGTTTTGACAACCCCGAAACAGCACACAACCATCGTGACTCCGGTTTGTCGCCCAGCTAGGCTTTCGCTATATCTGTGTGTCAAATGTTAATTGTAGGCTACAATGAGGTGCACTCTAGCGAGTACAGTTTGTTAGGGTTACTATGTGTACCCTCATTCTGCTAGTCCAATGCATTCCGTTGTGCACGTTTATTGAGATGGTATTAGTTAGGTTCGTTTCCTAGCCTCGCCTCACGTCGCCTAGTTCGTGCTCGCGCCCTCCGCGCCCTAGCGCTCTCCACGCCCTAGCGCCATCCTCGCCCTAGCGCCCTCCGCGCCCTAGATAACTTCGCGCCCTCGCGACGTCCGCGCCCTCAGCGCCCTAGCGCCCTCCGCGCCTCGCCTGCGCCTCCACCAGCGCCCGCGCCCTATCCCATCGCCCCAGCCCGCGCCCTAGCCCGTCGCCCCAGCCCGCGCCCTAGCCCGCGCCTCAGCCCACGCCCTAGCCCGTCGCCCCAGCCTGCGCCCTAGCCCGTCGCCCCAGCCCGCACCCGAGCCCGTCGCCCCAGCCCGCGCCCTAGCCCGTCGCCCCAGCCCGCGCCCTAGCCCGTCGCCCCAGCCCGCGCCCTAGCCCGTCGCCCCAGCTCAGCCCTGCCTGCGCCCTGCCTGCAGCCCGTGCCCAGCCCAGCCCACGCCCTAGCCTTGCCCGCGCCCTGCCTGCAGCCCATGCCCTCGCTCAGCCCTCCCCGCGCCCTTGCTCGAGCCGCAGCCTACGCCGCGCCCTGCCATACCCCGCGCTCTGCCCTAAATCTCCCCTGCCTAGGCCCCGCCCTGCCCTCCTCCCCCGGAGCCCTCCCACACCTGCCGGAGAGCTCCCCTCCCCTCCCCAACCTGCTACCCGGGCCCATGCCATTTCTCCCGCTCTTGGCTATCCTTTCCGCGGCTGGCAGCCGCTTTCTCTCTCTGGCAGCCTAGTTTAACGACGCACCTTGCTCCAGCCGTACTTAGCTCCAGTCATGCTCTGCTCTAGCCGTGCCTTGCTTCAGCCGTACTTAGCTCCAGCCGTGCCTTGCTCCATCCGTGCCTTGCCCCAGTCGTGCCCTGCTCCAGCCGTGCCCTGCTTCGGCCGTGCCCTGCTCCAGTCGTGCCTTACTCCAGCCGCGCCTTGCACCGTCCACTACTAGCTCCAGCCGTACTTAGCTCCAGCCGTACTTAGCTCCAGCCGTACCTTGCTCCAGCTGTGTCTTAATCCGGCCGTGCCTTTCTCCAGCCGCGCCTTGCTCCAGCCACGTCTAGCTCCAACCGTACTTAGCTCCAGCCGTGTCTAGCCATGGCGTCCACTAGAGTTCTCCAGCAGCAAGGAGAGCAGCAGCGGCAGTTTCCACAGTGGCGCCCTCAGCAGCAGTGGCGCCCTCAGCAGCAGTGAGGACCTGGTGGTTCGGGTAGTGTTGGATGCAGCAGCGGCCCAGCCAGCAGGGGGGCTCGTTGCGGTGGCCGCGACATTGGACCATGCTAGTACCGGATCCTGACCGGGCCTCGTGCTGGCACTACTTGCTGGAGTCCTGACCACTCTGCACTGCGCTGCTACAGCCGCCTCGACAACCTGTACCGTGAGCGTTTTGGGCCTCACTCGGCTTCGCTGGGCCCGGTCTGTCTCATAGTGGGTTACCGTGTGTTTGAGATGTCTATGGATGCTGTTTATTCTCTCACGTATGGATCTCTTGACTTGCGTGTTCCCAGCTTTGGACCTTTGCCAGTTGCTAGTGTAGGTGCTTGTGCTCCTAGTGTAGGTACATGTGCTTCTAGTGTAGGTGCTTGTGTAGTGACCAGTGCGGCTGTGTCGACTGCTGACGCGTCACTCTCCTTCACGCTGGACTCTGGCGCGTCCCAGTGCTTCTTCCGCAACCACACCATTGTCCTACCTCTATCTACTCCGGTCTCAGTGGCTCTGGCTGATCCTACTCCGGAACCTGCGGTCGCTCGCAGTTCTACCACCCTCCCGTGCCCGGCTGTCCCCTCTGGTCTCCTCACTGGTCTCTACATCCCCTCGTTCTCTCGGAACTTGGTTGGTGTTGGATACCTTCACGACCTTGGGATCACAATCACTTTTTTGGTGCACGGGAGGACTGCGATCTGTACCGACGCTTCCACCGAAGCAGTTCTTGCGTCCCCTGGTAGTTGCGTCCCCTCCGGTTGCTAAGTCAGGTCAGGTTATTGTGTCTAGTCAGGTTGCTCTGTCCGACCCGGTCGCTGCGTCTTGCTCCTATTGGTCCCTCGCCCACCCGGCCGTCCGGTGGCACCACCGTCTTGGCCACCCTTTGATCCCCCCATCTCCGTGGAATGGTCAGTCACCGTCTTGTCTCAGGTCTTCCACGAGTCTTTGGGTCGCTCCCTCCCTCGCCTGCTCTGCCTTGCACCCCTTGCGTCGCTGGCCACCTGCGCGCAACTCCTCACTCCTCCTCCCTCCGTCCAGCCACTGCTCCCTTTTAGACCCTCCGCCTGGACGTCTGGGGCCCGGCTGCTTGGCAAGGGACCGAGAGGGAGCGCTACTTTTTTGTGGTCGTCGACGACTACTCCAGGTACACCACAGTGTTTCCTCTCGCAAAGAAGTCCGAGGTGACTTCTACGCTGATCACGTGGCTTCTGGCCACTGAGGATACTCGTGGTCGTCGTGTCTCCTATCTCCACTCCGACCGTGGGGGTGAGTTTCGCTCCGACGTGCTTGCCGGATTCTACGGTGAACAGGGCATCTCACCGTCCTGGACACTGCCAGAGTCCCCACAGCAGAATGGGGTTGTTGAACGCCGCATTGGCTTGGTCATTGTGAGGATCTAAGATCGAGCTCAGAAAAGAGAGTTCGAATTGAATGCTCCACCCGGGTACAACACGAGGCTATATATAGTCTCGACACAAGGCTAGTAACCCAGGTGTTACACGAATATTACGAGGGCCGCGAAGCGTCCCGAACAGAACCTTCCCGAACCCGGTAGAAAGCAATTCGGTGGCAACCGAAAAGGCTTGACTTCGGTACACGTAACCTGGTTCGGTGCCATAACTATAATAACATATAGGAATGCACCTAACCTAGGAGATCAAGCATAGCTATGCATGATAGAGACAACCTAAGCTAGTAATAGCATAATAAAGTTCAAGCAAGCTAGCAAAGCCAGCATAAGCCGTCGTACTCTCACACGTCCCCCCCTCAAAGCTGGGTGGCGTGAGAGACACCCTGCTTGACAAGATAGTCATTGGGAGCATGGCGTGCGTTGCCCATATCAGCTTCTGCAACCCAACTATCCTCAGTGGGGTCATATCCCT